CCCCAAAACCCCAAAACCCCAAAACCCCAAAACCCCGGCTTTATTGTGAAATATTGAAACTCATTTAAATCTATTTAATAATGAAAAATTCAGCCCATAGTCTGTCTGGGTAAAGCTGTAAACCTGGTTTAGACAAATTAGAGCCACTCTAATTTCTTCAGGAATCATGTCTTTCTTTTAAACCACTTGTAAATAGCCGGTGTATAATGATATTTTTAGTTTTACTATAGCTTCACTGTTACATTTTTTGACCCAGGCTTACGAATTTAGTCGATATTTTATTGGTCTATAGTCACTGGATAGAACAAATAATTACGCGAAATCTGTGATATAAGCTATAATACTAAACATAAGTGAGTTTTTTATATTTAGATTCGAATTCTCACAGAATGAACAAAATACAATTTTTGAAAATCTTTATCAAAACTTATGAAGAAAGTATTAAAGATGTATGCTTCAATTCGAATTGAGCCAAATGCATGGGAAGGTCCTACAATTTGTTAATAAGTTTGGGTTTAATGGTATTTTTCAGGTTTAGCAGCTAAAGAATGTATTAAAATATATCATATGGATGATTTCTACCTTCTCATAAGATGACTATGGGAATATAACCAGGCTTTTCATTAGGTATGATTAAAATTTTGTGGAATAAATTGTCTTTATGGAGGAATGTAATATTTTTGAAGAGCAAACTTTCATTTTTATTGAAAAGCTTAGAAGAGAAATTATAGTTTCATAAAAAATTAGAGTTCAGGCTCTTGAATGTTTTAATTTATCAGGAATTATATAGAAAATTAAGGGCAAATTCTTTTTTAGGATTGGTTATTATGTTGCTCCTAAATATTTTGCCCTCAGAAGTTTATTTATGACATTCAAATATAGATTTAGGCGTTGTAAAGTGTTCAAGGAATCCTTTTAATTCTAACTTGCTGAAATATTCGAAATGCAAGTAAATAAAAGATGAAACGGCTTGGGAATGTATGAATATTAGAGAATTTGTTAATCATCATCGCTATCGAATTCATTTGGTCTAATTCTCTTCTTCTTTTTACTCTTTTTCTTCTTCATTGGAGGAACAAATTCCTCCTCTTTATCAGACGGTACTGGGGAGTTAGCAACTGCTTCAATTTCATTTCCGTCACTTGAAGAGGACTCCATCTCTTCAATAGTTTTCCTTGGTGGCTCTTGCTTCTTGACAGGTTCATCAGCTACAGCTTCAATTTCATTGCCTTCAGAACTCTCTGACTCATCTCTAGCAATTGGTGCCATATCAAACATATCTGGCTCTTTTGAGGGAGGATTTGCAATGGCAGGTATCTCATTAACCTCTTCCTCGCTTGAAGAATTATCAAAGTCTTCTTTATTCTCTTCAATAGGATGTTCGTGCTGCTTCCTGAACTCTTCATGAATATCATCTGAATCATTAAATTCCTTCTGATGGTCATGCTCTTTTTGAGGAGTTTCGATGTCTTCTTCGCTATCTTCCTCGACTGGCTCTTTAAATTGTATCCTTTTATTGATAGGTTTTTCTTCTAATTTCCTATCACTCAGCATAATTTTTCCATCATCTTCATTTGTATTGTTCAGATTATTGAAGTCGCTATCGATGCTTTCTTCGCTGCGGAGATTGTTGTCGATCATTCTCTCATCTTCGCCAACGTACTGACTTTCGAGCATTTGGTGAGACTGTTCATCAAAGTTTTGTTCTAGATTTGCAGGTTATAATCTTTCTTATTGAGTGAAACAGAAATTCACTGATTTAGAAAGGATTGTCTGGGCTTAACTTTGAAGAAATTTAAAAAGGTTGGAAGTATTACTTAGAGCAGGGAATCCGAGCACTTACCACTGTGACTCTTTTCATCTTTGACTGAGCTACGTTCAGAGAAGTCTTGTGAATCCTCTTCCACTTTTCCTCCGTATTTCTTTGGTAAGCGCCTATGAGAAATTCTCGAAATGTGGGATTAGAAAAATTTCAGATGAACAATGTAGTAGATTTTGGCTTTTAATTGGTATTTCAGATGCTAATTTAATTAATTTAGAAATTTTATGAGTTCTTTTACATAAAATTTAGTATCAGAGATGTCGATAAATTGTAAATATAAATTAAGTAAATCATCTAATTATATCTTTTATTTCTTGTTCTGAAATTTCAAGTTATGATGCAGAGATAATTTTTAGGTAGCTGAAATGCATGAGATTTGAAACTTTTAACGAATTTTTATGAAGCAACTTTGTAAAGCTTAGTTTGGCAACGAGCAAACTATTTAAGCTTATATCGCAAGATAATCTGTAAAGCATCTTTATGAATGACCTTATTGTACAAAGTATGAATACCCTCTAATAAGAATCATACCTGATGAAATAAATCTTGCCCATATGGTTTCTCTTCCGGAGGCCGACTAAGGTTTTTCCATCGTCCACAACTCCGTTCTTATTAATGATGGTGAAGTGGCTCTCTTGTCTAATTTGAGTTTCCTTACTTTCTTCTCTATCTTTGAAATAATGCATCCTAGATTAAGTATGAGCCAAATTGGGTTTTAATTCTAAAAGAGACAGATTTGCTTACCTGAAGTCTATCTTGGGATACCGTTCAGGAGTTATTAAAGGGTTGTGTGCTGGCACATCCCTATCCTTAAGTTTGGCAGCCTTCGCTCCCATATTCTTTTATTTTATTACAAAATTATTCTATTATTTCCAAACACTAAGGGGTTTTGGGGTTTTGGGGTTTTGGGG